GGGTATTTCTTGCATCAAGGACATCTTTGATGTGTTGGGAAAAAGTGGATACTTGTTGGTTAGTTGATCTTTGTGCCCTGAAACCTGCTTGTTCACTCCTAAGGAACCAGGTCAGCCTCGTGTTAACTATTCTTTTCATAAGTTTAGCCAGCACGCTTGTGAGGGAGATAGGCCTATAGTTGTCAAAGTTGCTAGGGTCTTTGCCCTTTTTTAGTACTGGTATTTCTATGGCAACTTTCCATTGGTTAGGTACGAGACTGGTCTCCCATATTTTGTTGAAATGCGTGAGCATGGTTTCCCTGGCTTTTGGTCCTATTCTAATTAGAAATTCCGGATGAATACCATCTTCGCCAGGAGAAAGAAATTCCGGATGAATACCATCTTCGCCAGGAGACTTAGCTGTTTATCGCAGCATTAAGTTCGCAAGGTCGGAATGGTTCAGTAATTACATCAGCATTAAGTTCGCAAGGTCGGAATGGTTCAGTAAGTACATTATTTGGTTTTACGTTTTCTTTAATTGCACCACATCATTTGGTGTTGCGTCTTCCTTAATTTCACCAAACTTTTGTATCTTTAAATCTCTTGAAGATTTTCTGGCAAAAGGGCTTTTCTTTTGCTTGTGGGAATAGAACCTTGAAAAGTAGTTATCTATTTTGGAGTCGGTGGTGAGCAGTTTGTGTTTTAAACGTATTGGTTCTTTCTTGGGTCTTTCTTTATTGTTTTGGAGGGTACCCAGGAATTTAAAATTGCGTTGGCTATCACTTTGATAGTTGATATTTGAGATGAACTTTTGGCTATCACTTTGATAGTTGATATTTGAGATGAACTTGTCTAAGGAAGTCCGTTTAGCTTGTAAGATGGCTTGCCTTAAGACGGCTGATTGGCGTCTCCAGGCTTGTACGTCTTTCGTTCTTCCGGTCTGATCAGCAGTGTTGCGAAGGGTCCGTTCTTCCAGTCAGATCAGCAGTGTTGCGAAGGGCGTTTGTTCTTCCAGTCTGATCAGCAGTGTTGCGAAGGGCGTCGCGCTTCCAGTCTGATCAGCAGTGTTGCAAAGAGTGTCCCTTCTTTTCAGTTCCTCAAGGTGTTTAGACCAAAACACTCGATGGTGTTTAGTCATACTATGGGGAATAGTTTTCTTTGCACATCCGATCATAATATTCTTGATATAATTGCAAAGTTTGTCAGGATGTTGTTTGAAGTTTAGGGGACTTGTGTGAAGTTCATCGTCTAAAAGGTTTGTGAATTTAGACCAGTCAGCCTTCTTGAAATTCCATGATAGCTTAGTTGGCACTTTTCTTGTCATGCTTTTGCTGATGATGGTAATACTAGTAATGACTGGTTTGTGACCAGAACCAGGATCGTCAATTATTTTGCGGTGTTTATGCTCACTGATGTCACTTGAAGCCAGAAGCAAGTCAGGAGTTGTTCTGGTTCTATTGCTGTAAATAAGTTCCAGAGGGTTACAGTTTAGCAACGCTTCGATTTCCTTTCCAGCAATGTTTGTATCCTTGTAGCCCCATCTGGTGGAATGGGCGTTGAAGTCTCCTAATACTATAATTTTGTGTGAGATGTTCAGAAAATCAAAGTTAGGACTATTCTGGGGTGGATTATAGACTGCATATATCTTGAAGTGGCTTTGACATTTCCAAACATTTAATCTGATTATTTCGCACATGTCTTGTGTCGAGCCCATACTCTTAATTAGATCGTAATGTGATGTGAGGCTTTCTTTTACTCCAGTCAGAATTTCACTTGTAACTTACCGGCATATAGGTAGATTGTACAGGGTGTAACCTGAGAATTGGTAGTACTTCAGTCTGTCATCCGTAAGGTTTGCTTCCATAATTGTAAAAATGTCTACATCATGGGTTTGTAGGATTTTCTGGACTTGGATCTTTTTGTCCTGTGACATTCCTCCAGCATTCCACTGGAAGATCTGAAGAAGTTGTGATTCACCCTGACGAGGGCAATTTCTCTTATAGCCTTGTTTTCTCGCCCTGACGAGGGCGATTTTTC